GGTGTTGGCAGGGAGGGGCGCTTGTGACCTGTATCGCAGGCATAAAGGGTTTCCCTGGGAAGCGTGCCTCTTGGGGAAGCCTGCATGAGGAGGAAGGGTGAGGGTGCTGAAGTGGAAAGAATCCTCCTCGAAGGATGGGCCCTCAGTGTTTCTCAGTGGCATTTCTAAACCCGTCCGTCATCACTTTGGAGCTCCCTCTGTTATTCACGTTCCCTCACGTATCTTCAGGGGTCTTCCCCTCAACGTTCATCCTTTGCCTCGAGGCAACCTCCAGCTCACACACAGCACCAGTAAGAGAGAAGGGCTGGTCCTGAGAGCAGAAGGATCCCTGTTCCCGTTTCCATAGGCAGTGTAATGTCTTGGGCTCTGGAAGCAGAAGGTCAGGATTGCCGAGACGAGATGGGTCTCCTGCTCTCGGGCCTTTGCCCAACCTCACGTCAGTGTCAGCGGTGCCTGGAGAACATCCCGGTCCTCGCCCAGATCCCAGCGCCTGCGGTTGTCCTTGTTGTACCCTCGAACCCCTTGAGAGCGTTCTTGCCTCTCCTCTAGAAAAAGAAGAACGAGTTGCTGACTGTCATCCGGGAGAAGAATTCCACGCATCCGGTTGTCAAAAACTTCTCTTACAAGAACTTCCAGCAGAGTGTGTTCCAGTTCCTGAAGAGCTACGTGGATGATTCGGAGCCGCTGCTGCTAACGGTGCGTGTCTGCCCGGCTCGCCGGGCTGCCCGGCCCGCCCTCGCTTCTGCCCCAGCGCGGGGCAGCGGCACGAGGTGAGGATTTGGGGAGAACCACCTCTTACTTCGCCACGAGGCGATGAAATCCAGTGATTTGCCTTCTGCCTGCCTCCTGTGCCAGTGATGAGTTAGAGCTTAGGCACTTAATTAACAGCGAGTTGAATCCAAAATACTTTAAATCCAGTCCGTTTATACAGTTGGTACACGGATGTGTTCAAGTGTTAATTGATGGAGGTGAGCTCTGTACGTGGTGCCGATGGAACGGCAAGCAGCAGCTTAAAAAGCCTTTGGGAGGGGGTGAAACGGGCTGGGAGTACCAGGAATTGTCTTTATAATTTGGGTTACGTGCTTTTTCTCTGTCCAAGGTAATGAGAAAGACTTTGAGCTCAGAACATGCCAGAAAACCAAAATACTCATCGGCGACTCCTGAGTCTGCAAATGGGCCACAGGACCAGGCAGCAGCTCCGGAGCCCTCGGGAGGGGCAGAGGGCCCAGCAGGAGCTCCAGAGCCTGCGGAGACAGCAGAAGACCTGGAGGGAGCTCCCAACCCTGCAGAAAGGGCAGAGGACCCCGCAGCAGCCCCCGAGCCGACGGAAGGAGCTAGCGACTCCACAGCAGCCCCCGAGCCGACGGAAGGAGCTTCTGACCCAGCAGCGACCCCTGAGCATATAGCAGCCGCGGTTAACGTCTCGGAAGGTGCTTCAGAGCCTATGGAAATAGCTAAAGAACCACCAGCAGCAGCTCCAGAACTTCCAGGAGTGTCCTGCAGGGACTCGAAAAGGTGGGCAGAGGAATCTGGCCCTGCGTTGTGGATGCAGCGCGGCAGCAGCTCTCTTCCGAGGGGTAGTTTGCTCTGCCCAGGCAGCTCCTAACTTCCCCGTGTGCCCACCCCAAAGGTTATCCCTGTGACACTTCTGCTGGATCGCACCAAAATTGTTAAGGTGGTTTGGGATTGGGTGGGTTTTTTTTTTCCTGAAGATGTGCAGTACTTTTGTAAACTAGGGAGGGAGGGCAGTGCTGCCAGAAGGTTGGCTCTCGTGGAGCAGCGTTCGGTGCCCGTGTGGTTCAGCCCTCGGTGGGCAAGAGCAGGGCGCCCAGCGGCGCTCTCGAGACCTGCTGCCCACGGCGCCGTTTAGGAGGAGGGCGGGTGGCAGGGGTGGGCGTGCCCGCCTGGTGGATGTTACTTGCACCCTGGGGTCAGTTGTTGAGGGTGACACCGTAGGGGCAGAGCCCGGTGTCGGTGAAGTGGAGCCACCTTGGCGATACCTCTACAACCTGCTCAGTTGTGTTTGTTTTGTAGGCAGCCCTCTGGAGCCGTAACCGCGTATGGGATTTCTGTTCTGAGAGAAGCTTTCAAGATCCTGTCGGACTCCCGGGATTCTGATGCGCTCTTCACCAAACTGGACGAAACAGACTTTTCTTTCCCCAAGCAACTGTCTCCTTCTGTATCCCACAGAACCAAGAGACGGAAAGAAGAGGAGAACCAAGATTCTGAGATCTCAGACCCTCCTGAAATATCCCATAAGGGCAAACGCTTGTTGACCATAAGCAAACTGGTCATGGAGCGAGACAGCCAGTACAGCGAGTCGAGTGAGAGCCCAGACTCTTCCCAGGAGCCAGTTGTATCTTCTGCTTCCAGACCTGTTCAGAAATTGCATGACCAGCCTGTATCTACTAAGAGTGCCAAGTATGGAGCCCATCTCTTGTGGTATATTCTAATCTGCACCCCATCTTTTGACTTGCAGCTGACGTCGGTAGCCTGAACCACAAAGACCTTTTTCTTTAATTCAGGGTAGAATCATAGAGTCGTTTTGGTTGGAAAAGACCTTTAAGATCATCAAGTCCAGTCATTATCCTGCCACTGCCAAGGATGAGTGTACTGCCGGTCCCGCGTGGGGGCGTGGGCAGAGCTGTCCTCACGCTGCGCTGTTTGGTTAGTGGAGAGGGGAACACGGTCCAGCTTCCCGTGGCGGCGAGGCAGGGGTAGCACAGTCGGTGTTGGTGGTGATGCCAGCGCGCGTCGCGGGTTTCTCTGCGCTTCGGTTAGCGACGCTGAAGCTGGAAAGCGTTCGTAGGTGCATCTGGTGGGACAGGTTAAACTCTCCTTTCCACCTCCTGAGACAGGCCACGCTGGCCTCACTGAAGCTCTTTTTTCCTGAAACCTGTGTTGGTCAGGAAACTCCTAGTCGTAGCTGTGAGACTGTTTCTTCAGTATGAGTTATCGCTTACCTTGCAGCTGAAATGACTGCAATAAGAGGTGGGGGTGTGCTTGGGTCTTTTCCTTTTTATAAGGATTTCCCACAGAAAACGCCAGAGTAGGCTGGCAGAAGTCTAAAATTAAGCCGAGAGTCTTGTGAGTATCTCGACAGGGTGTAGCAAAGCTTCCTGCTTCAATGTCCGAGTTGCCGCCCGCTTGCTCAGTGGAGTTGCGCAGCAGCCAGCAGTAGTCGTGTCTTGGATCCCCAGCAGTGAAACTGGGAGGATCGAGGAGCGCTTGATGTCTCTGAAAAGATAACTAGAATGCAATTTCCCTTAGTCCCTGGCTCAAGAATGCCCAGGACGCCAAGGTTTGGTTTTGAAGGGCGGGCAGTAAAGATCTCGGTGCTCTGTGCAGCTTGGCTGCTCGGGAGGTGGAGTGGCTTTCGCTGAAGCACGGGAGAGCGGCTGCAAGTGGAGATGTGCTGCAGCACCTCGGTGGTGAAATCCTTCGGACGTCTTGCTGGTGTGTCTGTGTAGAACTGGTTGTCAGAGGCGATGCCCAGGAGGGATTTCCCGCCCTGTTGTCCGCTTCATAGGGTCACCTGGGAACTTAATAAACTTCCAGCTGCTGCTGCCTTGAGCAGTTCTCCAGTTTCAGCCCTGCTGCTGTGCAAGTTGGTTTCCAGTTCAGCTGGAAAGTGCTTTACTGTCCGTGCTGCTTGTGGGGCTGTCTTGTCTTAAAGCCTTCAAGGGTCAGGACTGGTGGCAGTGGTGCCAGTGACGTCGGTCTGGGAATCTCATCCTGTGCCTCTCCGCCGGCAGCTGGTTCTCGAATGTTTATGTGCAACAAAGAGGCAACTTCAAGTAAGAATAGAGAATAGTTGTTTTCCTGGAGTCGTAACTGGCTTCAGCTAGATTGGATGTGACAGCCAGGGACGAACCTGCTGAGGTGGGTTTTGACAGACTTGATTTCATCCCACAAGTTTGGGCTGGAGGATTGGAAGGAGGCGACCGCGTTGAGGCACTTGATCTCCTGGAGAGGCCTCTGTGGCTTGGTTGACCTCAGTGGTGGTAGCAGTGAAACAGTAAGGATTAAATGTGTCTTGGGAAGAGTAAAGGCTTCTCCCCACAGCTGCCGGCCAGTCTGTGCCGTACGCGAAGGCGGGGGAAGTCCCGCTGGGTGCGGCTGAAAGCGCTTAATCGCGCAGTTAATACCCAGCCACTTGCTCTTGCCAGAGCTGGCTACAACACCCAGCCCTGCACTTGCGGGTCGATCCTGCATGCTGTGTGTTCGGCTGGGGGCTCCTGAGGAGCCCTCCCCGCTCCGAGGGGGGAGCAGGAGGTGGCGGCGGGTTCGTGAGTCGCTTTATGGGGCGTTTCTCTGCTCATCGCAGGCCTGCCCGCTGTGCTCCAGGTGTCCCTCCACCTTCTCCCCCTAAAACCTTCTCCCTGGCCAGTAGCCCAAGTAAATGCTTGCGTGCTTTCAGGTCCTTCCAAGGAAGGTGGAACAGCTCGTATGGCAAAGAAGAAAAAGACAGCTGGAGCGACGAGGATGAGCTCTTCTCGGACACGGGTAAGAACAGAGCCCCTGGTGCAGGCGTTAATTGATGATGCTCCTGGCTTTGGGGCTCATCCACGGGTGCCTTGCCGCCTTCGGTGTGGCTGAATTTTGGAACCAGAAACGCCCAAGACAGTGGGTAGCTGCCCAACTGCGAGATACTTGTTCTTTGTACCTCTGACTTGAAGCGCCTGCCAGAAGCTCCTGGTCAGGTTTCAGACCAACCACGCTTAGCTGGCAGGACAGACAGCCCTTTCCCCGTGCCCACTTCAGTGCTGTGGAGTAAAGGTTAAGCTGACCCTTTCAGCCGGATCAGTTTTCCAGTCCAGTCCCCTTTGCAGCTAAATACAGGGCTTAGCTGGTGGGAAGGGCTGGACAATGGATGTCTAATGCCAGCCTCAGTGTGCAGCGTAGCCACGTCCCGGATGGACAGCCCTGGTTTTGACGTACGGGCTGGTTGAAAACAAAACAGATCTCGTTGGAAAGCTTTTCCGTAAAGCCAGTGGGGCTTGGGATGGAAAGGCTGTGCACGCCATAGCGGCGGAAGAGGGAGGGATTAAAGGGATTTGGGTTCATTGTCTGTCACGGGGCGCTCTCATTGCGGGCTGACTGCGTAGTCCTCTCGAGGAGGTCTGTGTCGCCTGAGGTATGGTGAAGTGTAATCCTCCTGCCTTGTTTTTCAGCATCATTTGGGACAAACAGCCACAACACCACGGTCTTCGGCTCCAAGAAGCAGGTAACGTGGAGCCTTTAAGTCCTTTCAGTCAGGCCTGAAATCGGGACGTGTCGGTATAGGAGAGCAAACAGACAGTTTGAAGCGTGTTGGGGAGGATTGCTGCTTCCCGAGGCCGGTGCTTGCAATATCCAGGCTTGATCCGAGTTGTGCAGGTCTGTTCGTTCACAGAGCTGCCTGGAGGTTCTCTTAAACCAGTCTGGTTTGGGAGTTGGCTAAAGCTGTGCCTCCCACGCGCCAGGCGCTGGGTACGTGCACGAAGTCCCTTGGTGCCCGTGGTTCAGAGGTGGCTTTGCCGAGCTCCCCACGTGCTGGAGAGTTCAGCATCTCGTTGGGGTGCGGGACACACGCACGGCAGCTGTTGTACCTGGGAAGAGGTCCCAAGTTTGGTGCTGCTGGGAACTCTCACCCTTGCTGGTGGGAAGGCGGCTGCTGGCTCTTGCGCTGCCGTGCACCACGCAGCACTTGTCCCCGGTAACGGCTTGCTTCAGTTATTTCACGTTCTGCTTTCACGGGATCAGTGTTGTGCTCGGGGAGGCAGAACTGCTGCTGGGCTCGTGCTGGAGCTGAGCACGTCCCTGGTTTGTCACAGTGATGAGGGCACATCCACGGTGAAGTGATTACTGAGCGCTGTGTGTGTGACATCTCCGCCTTTCCTCCGTGTTAGAGCACGGGTGGTAAAGGGGGGCTAAGGAAGGAGCTGCAGCGTGGCGCTCTGCCGACCGCAGCTCCTCCCTGGCCCCGCGCTCTGTCCTCACAGCACGCTGCTTGCCTGCTCTCTTGTAGAAATGGACGATGCAAGAGAGCGAGTGGATCAAAGATGGCGTGAAGAAGTTCGGAGAAGGGAGGTGGAAGGCCATTTGCCAGAAATACCCCTTCCAGAACCGCACAGCAGTGATGATCAAGGATCGCTGGCGGACCATGAAAAAGCTGGGGATCCTCTAAAGCTGGGCGCCTCGGGACCTTCAGTGCAAAAAACCTCATTTTTCTTTTGAAAGACAGCCCGGAGCTCTAGCAGCGGGGAGGCTGCTGTGCTCCTCCCTGGGGTGTGTTGGGGCCAGCGTGGG